GTACAGCAGTGATGATAGCAGTAGAGAGAATTTCTTAAGTTTGCCCAAAATAGTAGTTGTGAAGCATTGCTTTTCTTTTAGTTACCTTTACCAGAATTGCCAGATGATACTGTTAACTTGTTAACATTGATAGTTTCTTTATATTGTTTAACATCCCCCAGTCAAATATTAATCAAGGTGCATTTGCTCGAGAAGTATAGCTCAATGATATCTTTGCATCTTCTTTTTAATTAGCTATCTGGTGATGTTTCATAGGATTAATCAGTTTCTGATATTTTTATATTCAAACTTTGGGATAATTTGCTTAAGTAAGCATTAGCTCCAAAACTTAGTCCCTTCCATGGGTTTCCTAGACTTGGCAGGTCAGTTTTTCTTTGGTGGATGACTTCACAGGTCAATCATTCTACTGGGATCCCACCCTGCTTTCCAGTTAAGAAATCCTTTCATACAGACAGAAAGACTCAGCAATGGGATGGATGTTCAGACACCAGAAAGGTGCTTGTGTTAGACAGAAATTTCCACATTTTCTGGAGGTATGTGTGCATGTGCACCTCTAATTCAAGACCAGCTGATTTGGGCAACTAGCCATTAACATACTTGGATCTATTTGGACATATTTTGTTATATCTGAAAGATTTGTGTTCTATTTATTCTGAGTAAAATACCGGCTACAGTTTTATGATTTATAGGTATAGTAGTCCCTACAATATTCTGCTTTATGCTTAAATTGGCTGAAAGGAAATATAACTGTTTTCTATATTACACGTCCTAGCCAGTATTTTATGTCAAATTATAATACATATTATCTCTGAAATATAAGTACAATATGTATAATATCTTACTTAAAGTATTAACATTAACAGTAGTTTAAGCATTAACATGCATTAACAGAAGTAATAGTGGACTTATTCATGTCCTCAATGCTGGAGTGAGCCATATAAGTAGCATTATTTTCTGGAGGGCTTTATGATAGGAATCATAGTGGAGACTTTGGGAGCAAATGCCACTATTGGACATGCAGTACTGTATGACCAACCCATTGGTAAAAATGGCATCCATGAGTACAGAATTTCTGTTAGGCCCTTTCTAAAGAGTGGAACTTAAAGCCATATCATTCTCTTTCCAATTAAATTATTTGCTGACTAGAAAAAGCAAACAGGACTTTCGGATTATATATCCTGAATTCAAAAGGGTTTAGCATTGAAATCTTTAGTAGTTCTAGCAGTAAGCAATATAGAGTTGGGTCCAGACTTTGTCATGCTTAAAGCAGTTCCCCTGAAATCAGTGAGATTCAAGTTAACCATGATAAATCCCCTCTATTTCAATGGCTCTGCTGTAAGCGTCACTTAATCTTTATTTAATCTATTGTATTCAATTTTAAAACTTTGAAAAATAGCAGAAAAGCTTATACAGGCTTGATTTTCTGTTCATTATCTAAATAGCTCATAAATACATACAGATTTTAATCAAAGGATAAGAGAATAAAACATTGTTGGTGTGGTCTTTTGTATTTTGCCTGATTGCATGTTGTAAGACAGGAATGGTATGTTGACTCTTTGCAGAGCCCTTTCAGGGCAGGGCTGAAAAGTACTGGACTATGATTCACACATCAGACCCATTTTCTTTTACAAATGCACATACAGACATGCATACTGGTAAGGTTGTCTGAGAAGGATGAGAAACTTGAACCTCAACCCAACTCAAAGGTCTCCTTATCATGATCCTTGTATATCCTCTGCCAGATGGTTGCCTGTATGTATTTTAAATAAATGATAACATGGGTATTTCTTGTACTTAACAATGTGTCCTCTTATTGGTAAGTTTCATATGGCCATATAAACTAGTATAAACTTTCATACTAATTCACTACAGTATTGCTAATTACATTCTGTGACTTATTTACTAGTAATTCTAATTTATGTATTAATATTAATGCATGTATTTACATATACATATATATATATATACATCTCAAATATAATATTTTCTTCAAAATATTTTTAAGTGAACTTAGTGTATGCAACTCGTGCTGGAGTAACATCCCTGGTGACTGAATTCTTCTGACTACAGAACATATACTGTACAGCAGTGATGATAGCAGTAGAGAGAGAGATCTTCAGCAATGTTGTCTCTTTTTCTCTTCTCTGGGATCCCCTTGATTGAAGGTAACTGCTTCTCAGGATGGTCTGAACCTTGGGATTCCAGTCCATCTTGCCTCTAAAAAATACCATGATTGGGGTGG